ACTCACTATAATCATTTACATTTTTTCTGTATTCATACTGTGGATGTGCTTCAAATAGATCTACATAGATATCTACTATCTAGATCTAAAAATCTGTTTTTTTTTAAAATTAACTTTTTATTGTTGCACCGTTTCAGTATTTGATTCTATCCTTAAACTTAAAGTTAATCATTTTATTTTTAGTCTTATTAGATCTAATTCTATAAAAATGTATTTTTAGTAGATTAGAGTCTAATTCTGATATAGATATATATACTATAGTATTCTAGATCTAGACTAAATCTAAGATCTAATCTAGGTCTAGTCTAGAGTCAAGAGTGAGTAGATAAGAGTAAGACTAATTATTTATTAGACTAATACTAATAAGTTGACTAAGTCACTAAGATCTAGACTAGTGATAGATCTAGTCTAGTACACTAGTAGATGTAGTGATAGTGACATGATGATGATCTAGTGAGTAGTCTTGTCTAGAATTAGAATCTAAACTCCAGTCTAGAATTAAGAGCTTGTTCTCTAGATCTAGTCTTAGTCCATTGACCATTAGATCTAGAATCTCAATCTAGTCTAATCAGTCTAATCTAGATCCAGATATTGAGATTATATAGATAGATCTAGTTGAAATAATATCTATACTATAGATCTTGGCTAGTTCATTCATTAGTAGACATAGTTTATTAAAATTTTATTTTTGGAGAGATCCAAGTCATACTGACAACTGAGTTTTATAACTCAATAACTGAGTCAACTGAGTGTAAGATTCTAGAGTCTAGATAGTAGCTTTACTCAAATGTTTATCTAAATCTTTTTGGATCTAGATCTAAAATAATCTAGTAGATCTCCAAGTCTAGATCCATACTACTTTTACTAGACTATTCTAGATCTACTAGAGTAGAGTGCGTTTTGCTGACACTTTTGTTCTCGTTTTTCACTTGATAATTTTTTTCTCTGAAATGGTTAGTCGTAGGAAAAAAGTAAATGTATCAGAATACTCCTCAGCTATTGGCTAATAATTATAGATTTGCTGCTTGATAGTCCTGTGATTATAAAAAAATAGAATTCAAGTTTACTTTTGGTGGGGTCTGCACACGTCACTGACCTTTTTTTTAAAAATTGAAAATGCGTGGACGTAGAGATTCAAGGACAATTATAGAGAAAATATATATAAAACTATTTATGGTCTTTAAATTTTTTATAATGTAACCGATTTTCCCCAACAGACTTGAGTCATTGATTAATTGACACTTATCTTACTTTTGGATATCTTCATTACTTGAGCTATATATGTGTCACTAAGCTACACATAGTTTACTTGCATCTGGTAGACTATATTAGACCCAACCTTCCATTCACCTATCTTTAATGCTTTTAAGAAAAGTTTTATTAAAAGGCTTTTTTTTTTTTCTATTTACATGTTTATTTACAATCTATTTACATTATATTAATATACATATATTACATAATATTAATATTCATATATTTACATTATTTTAACATATTTACACGATATAAATTTTTTTTGTACATGCAGTATCTACAATTATTTCATTTATATTTACATATTAATTAACATATTAGTATATATACATGATGTTGGTGCCATTGTACAGTCGATAGATGGTTTAGATCTATAATGTGATCAATGTAGATCTATCTGTTGTAGATTAATTGTGTAGACTCTTATAGATCTAGATTGATTATGAATGATAAATTTAATAATTAAATAATATATGCAGTCTAAATGTATCTATATATACATAGGCGTACATATACATAGAGGGGAGTGAGAGAGAGATTGCGGTGGGAGAATATAGACTCTAGATCTATATATAAACAGTTTTTAAATAATTAGTCTATATAGATTACATTTATAATTTTAAAAAAATCCTTTTATTAGTTGTCAAATGTAAGATTTTGCGGAAACCCTATTTAAAAAAAAATTTTTAGTTCTATGGATAGCATAAGCTAAGAAACCACATCTTTCCCAACCTATTCACAAGCTAAATATATGTCTCTTTTTACTGACACAACGTGAGACCCAATAATAGCCTTAAGTCGTGACCTACTTGGTTCTTCCCAAGGAAAAAAAAAAAGGAAATTTCCTTACCTGTTCACTCTGAACTGAAGTTGACCTAAGACGTGAAGTGAATGGCTAAACCACGTGTGCCATAACTGTACAAAAATGGGGCATGCACAGTTTTTATGTAGTAGCTTTGAGGAAACGATCAAAATAAAAGAGATAAGGAGGAAAATAAATGACCTGTCCGCGGGTCACACTTTCCGCGAAATGCACTTTACTCTTACTCTATATCCACTAACTTAGTTACTCATTAGTTCACTTTACTCAGTCTAAATCTAGATTTATATCTTGACTCTAGACAGAAAAGATCTAGAAAACTAGATGTTAATAATTTAATCATAAATTATTCAACTAGACTGACTGACTAGATCCTTGTATTTGTCACAAGATAAGATTGTTGTCAACGTTGATCAAGTTTATATCAAGATTAGATTTCTAGATATTAGCTCCAGATCTATATACTGGTATATTGATTATTTATATTATAGTCTTTTAATAAGATTAGAAATCAAACCAGTAGAGAATCTAATCTAGAGTTTTTAATGATGGATCTATATCTAAAACTAGATTAGATATATTCTGACAGATCTAAAGTTAAGTTATAAGATTTAGACTCTATATACCAGTATCTAGATCTGGATTTAGAAATGTTAGAAAATAATAAATAACAGAATCTTTTTAAATTTAGATAGATCTAAATCTACTAGATTTAGAATTGTCACATATTGGTAATTAATAACAAATTTGACTAACTCTTAATAGTCCTAGTACCATAAGTGAATAAGATCTCAAGATCTAGTTTCTAGATAGATCTTGCAAACCTATCACAGATCTAGCAAAATTAAATACTTAAATAGATTAGCCAACATTCTAATAATTTAGACAGACTGTCTAGTGTACAACTATTAAACACTTACATTTATTTTTATCAAACACAAAATGTATATTTTTTGACTAATGGAACTATGGGAGCAAGTATTATCCGTCTATTCCACAGGCACATATAAAACTGCTTAGTTATAGGTTATCATTTGTTAACATTTTCAAATATTTTGTAGAAACATATTCAATAGTAATTCTAAAATGTTTAGGCCTTAGCTCTATCTAGACCAACACATCTTTACTTCACATAACCAGCTAAGCAATGATTCTTTGACAAAGTTATGGGATTTGCATGTTAGAATACTATTGACATGGATTGATAGCTACACGATGATCTTTTTTTCCAAAAGCATCATTTACATCAGAATAGGGAAATTATGTGCCATAGCTTAATGAAGCCATTGAATTTATTTATTTTATATGATTTGACATCATTGAGCAATTGTTATTTCCTTTAGGGTAATTAAAAGTTTGTAGATAGTACAATATTTTACATATAAACTTAATGCTCTTAAAACTGACATGTAATGAAATCTTTTTGTAGGGGAAAACGGTCAAGAAAGTGAAGTAGTTAAAGAGCGTTCTAGATCTCCCACCCCAGACAGTGAAAGACTTAGAGAACGGACACGGTCAGGATCATCCTCCAGGTAATTTATTAACATTGGGCGCTGTTTACTTTGTTCAGATATATATATCAAACTTTCTATTCATATACAGACAGAAGACTTCTATTTGATCTGAAGATATTTGTTAACATATTGATCAAATCTATCTGTTATTTGTACAGCCTTTTTTTTATCTAAATAATTTTTTTTTTTGTTGTAAATGTTAAATGTTACTTTTGCATACATTGCACAATCATCATATGTTGGTTTTCATTTTTTTTTTTTTGATAGAATGAATGTGAAATGCATTAGGTCATAGTGATTAAATATATTGTTTACAGTATTTGGTTGTATTTGACATTTTTTAAAAAGGCCAACTGCATATCAAAAATTTGTTGACAATAATAGTGGTATCATTGTCAGGAAATCTTTTTTTTCTTTGTCTTTCTTTCAACTATGTATTTTTTTAATGCAAGGTGTTGAAAGATGCCTAATTGAAATGCTTTTAGATCAGTAATTTCATAAAAGTAATTTTTGATCAAGAAGGATGAATGAATCATTTACATTGGTTTCTTTTCACCTGTATCAGATCCTTGCTATTTGCTAAAAGATCTTTATCTTAAAACTCTTGAAGTAAATTAAAGTTAATGAATGGCTTTATTTCATTTAAGATATACACATTTTTTTTTAATTAATAAGAATAAGCTCAGGAAATGTTAGTGTACTTAATTCTTAAATGTTGAAAGACTATTCAGATGAATATTTTTTATTTTATTTTCCCTTTGTTTCTGTGTTGTAATTACAGTGGATGATGACCAAATATGTTTGCTACAATTTGTTATATTAAGTTTGTATTACTTTATTATTGTAAATATTTCCTTTGATTGTTTAATTCATGTTGATCTCTGTAAGCTCTCTATTGTCTTTTTTTTTTTTTTTTTTTTTACAATGGCTGAGTTAAAAAAAAAAAAAAGGAGGTGGGGAGGAAGCATATTTTTTTTAGTGAGATTTTTTAGCCTTAATACAGGTTAAACATTAAAAGTGTCTTCACTTTTTAGATACATTTATTTTACTTATGTAGCAATTTTGAATGCTTTTTATCTGAGTATGAGCATAGTTCATAGAATTTTCTTACCCACAGCCACTAACTAAAGTGGTTCTTAAAGCCTTTTGTGCATCTACCACAATACAATGTTGAAGTAGAGTTATACTATATTATTATTATTGTCTTAAACAGGGGGGATACTATATTATTATTATTGTCTTAAACAGGGGGACGTAAATGGTACTGTACATGGGGAATTCCTGAAAAATACTACTATGAATTTTTTGGAAAGCAATGTTGTACTAAGTAGATTTTGTTTGGTTAGAATTAGGTGCATGCTTATCACATTATTTCAGTATTAGGAATTTAAAAAAAAAAAAGACAATTTATTCTTTTTTTTTTTTTTTTTTTTGTGTGACTTTTTGAGTTTTTAATTTGCCAGTATATGCCATATTCTGTTGGATATTGTTAATGTTATTCAAAATTTTTTTATTAAAAATAACTATGTTTAAATTGTATTTTGTATATCTTTTTTTATTCAAAATTTATGGGTTCAGACATATTTTCCCCCTGGTTTACTTTAAACTGAAACTAAATTAATTGGCATTCAAATACTCAAAACCATAGTGTTATGTTTTATGATTGTGACATTCTTTTTGGTTGAGATAAAACACATTTTAGCCATATTATTTATCTTGTATTTGTTGGTTATGCAGTGATAATGTGAAGTATTTTGATAGTCTTTACTTGAGAGGTTTACGTTGTTATACACCCATCTGTAGTTCTGTTTATATTAACATTCTGTTGCTGCTTGCAGCCTGTCTCATCTATTGTTGTATCTCTTCAATTCAGTGTTCTCTAAGAACAATTCATGTATGTTGGCATTCATTCTAACTACAAGTTTTGGTTTATTTTCAAAATGAAGCAGAAGAAAAATAAAAATAAGTTTTTCCCCTATAGATGACATTTGTTGTGTTATTGTTTGATAAGAAAGAGGCATATAGTTAGTATGTACCGTAAAAGTCATTGCTGACATAATGTACTTGGGTTCAATCGATAGACATAGTTACACAATGTTCTAACTGTTAATACGTGGTTTTGAGTATTTTGCTCTCAGAAGAAAGTGCCATTGTTAAAAATATCTAAAAATCTTTGTTAAATTTTGAAAAATTAACCTGATATGAATATTTTGATTAACCTTTTTTTAAAAATTTTTTTAATAGTCTTTTTGTAATTATGTCCTTTCGTTCTGAACCCATACATTTTGGTCAAGTTAAGTAGAAGCTACTTTGGTATTGCAAGGAATGAAGTGGAAAATGTGGAGACAGAAGCTTACACTGATGTCCTCTAATTGAGATGCTGTCGAAGAATGTTGAGGAACAAAACACTAACTACCTTTCACACATACACTATTTTATCACTAATTTATTTTCAACTTTTGTTACTTAACATATTCACACCTAATGTATTCTTCTGTCAATAAGTTTAAGTGAAATATTTATACAGCCATGGTTTAGTCACAAATATTGCTTTTTGTTTTCAATAATTTTTATTCAAATGTTAAACTTAATGTGTAGGTGTTAAGGGAATCAGTGTATACTAAATAAAAAAAAAATGTACAAAGATAAAACTACATTAATACTTAAAAAAACAACACTAGAAACAGAACAGAGCATAAGCATTATTTTAACTTATTTTCCTGCCCAGCGCCAAGATTTAAGTTTCCTGTAATTGTTAACTATGACTTCTTGTGGCTGTGTTCTCAAGATTTCTTTGGATATTATATACATGTAGAAATACAATTAGGCTGACATAAACAAATGCATTGTTGCAAGTTATGTGTCTTGCTGAGCTTAGGAATATCAAATTCCATGGTTTGAGTACATGATTTTCCATGATCATTTGAGATTTTAAAGGATTGTCTGTCCTTTCTGTTGGGCTAGGAATGTAGGGTTAAAAAAAAACTTACACAATACTTAACAACATAGTAGGGCCAATGTATCATAGACAATGCATATCTTGTGTTATTTACGATGAAATAATTCTATAAATTTATACTGCACCTTTTCAGACACAATGTAAATGTATCAGTAACAATTTTTGCTAACACGGTTTAAAATAATACAAATGTTTTAAAACTTAATTTGATCTGAATACATAGAAAAAATACAATGGACTCACACAATTGAAAAGGAGATACACATTAACATTTTTAATATCTTGATAGATACTCTTATACATGTCATTTCAGTTCCCGGTCACCAACCCCTGAAAAACCCTCAAGGAGTCGAAGGGGTCGACAGGCTCGAGGGAGGGCTTCTAAACGAGGAGGGGGTAGGCGGAGAGGTAACTATGCCACAAAGTCAAGGTCATCCTCTTCTTCATCAGAAGAGGTTGCCCCCAAGAAGAAAAGGCGCAGTACTAATTCAGTGAGCTCTCGGTCACGGTCTAGATCACCTCAAATGATATCTTCAGAGTCTACCAGAAGATCTAGTCGACGTAGTGCTGCCAACAAAAGCACCCCAGAACATCAGCTTGAAGAAGCTGAGGACAAAGTTGTAAGCCAAATAAAAAAGGCTGAGGTTGAAGAAAACGCTGAGCCACCAGCGGTTCAAGCCAAGAAAAGGCAAAAATTAGCAGCTGGGGAGACACCTGTTGATAAGGTGGTTGAAGAAAGTGCTACCATATCTCAGGCTACAACTCTGGCATCTCAATCTGAAGTAGAAATGGTTGATGTGTCACCTGTCAGTGCAATCCCAGCATCACCAAAAGAAACATCTTCCGTAATGGATACATCTGAACCTCTTAGCAGCAAAGAAGATGAAGTTAGTAAATCTGAGGATTTGGAAACCAAACCTCAATCAATCAACAGTGACTCTACCACTGTAAAGGACAATATCCAAGATGTAGCAACTGATAGTGCATCAGTGACAACCACAGAGACTGAATCCCATTCAGAAAAGGATTTAGAGAATCTTGCAGTGGATACCAGTGATAGTGTTAAAGAAACTGAGCCTCTAGCTAAAAGCACAGAAACACCTGTAACATTGTCTGAGAAAGATTCTAGTGATCAAAACAGAAGAGTTCTTAGCAGAAGGTCTTCCTCTAAAAGTCCTTCTGCAGAGAAGTCTAAAAAGAAATCAAGATCATCTTCCTCCTCTTCCTCATCTTCATCCCGGTCAAGGACTAGATCCAAATCACCAAAACATAAACCAGTCAGATCCCCTTCCTCCAGTTCACAGTCCAGGTCTCGGTCTAGATCTAGTTCATCAAGCAGTAGCAGCAGTGATTCATCTGGCAGCAGACGTAAAGCAGCAGTCCCAAGAAAAGGCTTTAAGCCATCGAAGTCACCATCTCCTCAACAGGAAATAACCAAGACTGAGGTAGGTCATGTTGTTCACTTCAATAATTATGTCTAAAAAGACAAAATAGTTTGTCAAATTTAAATATCATAAAGAGTTTAGGGTGCTACTAAACTTTTAGCACATTTATATTCTTAAAAAAAAAAAAATAAATTTGAAATAACTGTCCTTTTTTTCCCCCAGACCCCAGATACAAGCCAAAGTGCCCAGAAACCTGCTCTTAAAGAAACTGTTAAAAATGATGGTGATAACAAGTCTAAAAAAGATGTATCTAGGTTGGTTAGTCTTATTGATACAATTTTGTAAGAGTTAAAACATGGACATTTGAGGACATTATGCTAAAGAAACCTTAAAATAATATGTGTATGTAGTTAGGAAAGTGTTGGGTTAGGAAATGCATCAAGAAGTATGTCAACTTAGGACCAACCAAACAAACTACTAAGTTGTTGCCTTCATGACTTTTTCTTCCTATTTAACTTTCTCTCACTATGCTTTACATGTGAAAGAAACAAGTGCTAAATGTTTTTGCTATTTAATTTTTTTGTTTAAGGGTGTATCTATTGCAAAATGGGCATCTGCTGTGGTTTTATGTTACTGGTACTATGTGTCTCTTTTATTTAATGTTGCTTTTGTTTAACTAGTTTTTTTCTATTTGACTTTCTTTTTTGAATGAAAGTGTACAGAAAACAAAAGACAGTGATCAGACTGAGACACTCATGGTAACTATTTACATTATGTTCTTTTTAGTGGACTAGACTTAGTTATATTGTATTTGTCTTGTTTTTCGTCACTTTAAAAATAGATTTGTACTTGACTAGTTTTAAGAGAAAAAAAAAAAAGTACAAAAAAGAACTGTCACAACAATCATGCTTCTTTTAGTAATAAAACATAAATTTAAAAAAATAAATAAAAAAAAAAGAACTTTCACTATATTTTGTTAAAGTAAAAAAAATAAAATTTTACATTAAATATTTGAACTAGTTATAAAAATGTCATTGTGTGTGTATGTATGTCCCCTTACTTGCCTTGCATTGCTTCAACCTGTTAGCTAGATCCAGGATGAAGATGTCTTGAGATTGTCCCCCCACATGCCTCCCACAGAAATCAACAAATTCAACCAGAACTGGGTGCCTTACCCCTATACGGCAGCTTCCAATGTGGCTTACTTGTGATGGCTCCTATCATGAATCCTGTTTGGCGATTTTTACCTCAACACTTTCTACTTGTTGGACGAACACTTAAGCAGACATGACACTACGAAACGTGTTTGCTCACTGCCAACATATCAGTTCTTCTTGAACTTTTTAAACCTTTGAACAAAGTGAATTCCTAACTCTTCAGGACTGCACATTTTGACTTCCCCAATCTTGAACAAGACTTGAACTTACTAATGTGCACCATATAGAAGCACCAGCTACAGATGAAGCCTGCTTAATTACTTCATGGACATATATGAACACTATATTTTTGTGTGTCCCTAAGATGAAAAGTGTGTTTTGTGGTCCTATTAACAAGTGCCTATAAACTTCCTCTACAAACAAACATTTTCGTGTATATGTTAACGAAGCACTTTAATGTAACTGAAACTCAGTGTTAAAAACTTTTTGGACATTCATCAGCACGTTTGTAACTGTCAACAAATGTTCAGTTATATTACTTCATATATTAACACTGACTGCACTCTACGTAGCAACATCATCTTGTTGCAACATCAGTCTTGATTGAAATCAAACACACCAACACCTTGGTCATCTAGTTGTTGACTTCTTGCCATCTCAAGAAATGAATTTTACCTCCCATGTCACTGTCTCATCTCAAGAATGAAGTTTTCTCTCGCAAGTCACTCCTGGGAGAGTTGCCAACACAATCATCTGTGAATTAAATGAATTACCATCTGTCTTGGAAGGCAAAACTAGTCACTGTATTTTCCCTTGCAAGGGCAATGGCTGGTGGTATTTGATTATATTTTTATTTTCAAGTTTCAGATACAAGGATATCATGGGCTGTCCCAATTTTTTTTTGTCTATTTATCAAAGTTAATGGGGGTCTCTTTTTTGTTTTTGGTATGAAAAAAGATGAGGGGGGGGGGGGTCCAGAAAGAAAACAATTACCTTAATTTTAACTAATCATAATTGTTTTAAGCTTTGCCCCAATATATTTTTTTCTCTTCCCATATTGCATCTCATATTCTTCTATCCCAGCATCAGTACTTAAATATTCTAAACTATTTTTAAATATTCTAAACTATTTTTAAATATTCTAAACTATTTTTAAATATTCTAAACTATTTTTAAATATTCTAAACTATTTTTAAATATTCTAAACTATTTTTAAATATTCTAAACTATTATTAGTGGGAGGTTGTTTTTTTCTTCAAAGGGACCAATCTGGAACTAGGCAACTCTTAAACAGAGACATCTCCAATAGCTGCTCTCTTTTGTTGATAATAGTTGTCCACATGTGGCCTACTATGAGTTGGCTGTTTTAATAATGAGAAATATGACTCACTTTTTTTCTTGTTTTTTTTTTTTTATACTTTGGTTGTGCAGGCTCCAGAAGTTGTAGCACAACAGAGTGTCAAAAGTGAAACAGTGCCA